AGGAAGGAGGATCTCAGCCAACACACAAACTACACCAAGGGGTGTGGAACAGCTGGCAAAAGGAAGGGAAAGGTAGAGAATCTGCAGTTCCTAATGCTCTCCCTGTGGGTATGGAGCATACTGACTGGATATGTCTAACCACAGACTCAAATCCTCTCACACAGAAAACTGACTTAGTTCAGGTCCCCAAACAGCCAACAACCAACTGAGGAATACATGGAAGTCAGACATCATCATCTACTCCTTCAGCTGTCCTTTGAAGGGAAAGCTCCTTTCCTCAAAACTGAAGCACCTTCTAGATTCTGATTTCAGGAGCTACTTTCAAGTCATGAATTCAAAATGGAGAGACAGATCTCTACAATGCAGAATATTGCTCTACAACCCTAAAAAAACCCAAATAAACACCAAACCCAAACCTAAAAAACAACCCCACTAACAAACAAAATAACAATAAAAAAACTCAAACTCACCAGGCAGATGTACTCACACTCTTGGTACCTCTTTCCACCCAACATGCACATTTTGTTACAAGTACTGGGCATGGGGTCCATCCAACAAACATGGATGTTTCAAATTCTAGTAGAGGCCTATACCCTCAGCAGCTGCAAGCAGCAGATCCTCCTTGTAAGGCACAGGGGCAGAATAATAAAACTATTCAAGCACCATTATAGGAATAAAGCTCACTAACATGTGCTATTAGCTAAATTCCCTACACTATAAATTGAAGTAGGAGCATACAGTGAAGAAAGGGGAATAAGCAAGGATGTAAGAAAATATTGAGGAGTGAGATGTGACAAAATCTTGCTTTAAATGCAGTAAACTAAACATCCATCCTTCCTTTCTCTGCTAGAAAGACAAATACACTGGCTTTTTTTTTTTTAGACAAGTGGCTTTCCTACCTAAAAAACAACTTCATAAAAGAAGTTATAAAAGTATAAACAATCATTTCAAGGTAACACAAGCTTCTTCTTCTTGAAGAACCACAGAGCATCTGTACAGCATCACAAGTTTCACCCCAGATTTCTCAGCATCTCCCTGCTCTTCTCAGCTGAAGATGTACACCAGCTGTAATATATGACAAGTTTGCCACTTCAAAATATATTGAGCCTAAAAGGAAACTCCTTGTGCTGGACCTACTCTTTCTGCCACGTAACCTGGGTTTCTTTGTTGCACTACTTCCAGGTAAACTGCAGCCTCGACTTTCCAGAGTAAAAGTCTCACTGTGTTCTTTATGAAATGCCTTTCTTAATAAATAAATAACAATAATAAATATGGGCAACAAGCAGCACAGTAAGTAAAGTTATTACTGTATACTGCTTAAGGTAATTACTTACTTAATTCACTTCCAGTTCATGACTGACAGCTTTGCTCAATATGCCCTTAAACAACTTTATGGGCAGAAATGCCACAACCTTACTGAACAACCTCTTCCCATTACTTGCTATTCTTAGAACAACAGCAGATTATTTATAAGACAACAATCCAGTTATTCTGGGCTGGAGGATGAGCTGCACACAATACCCTTCACAAGGCTACAAAGTGGTCTTCAAAACAAAGGGGAATGAAGTGCCCAAGTAACTTGCTGAATGTCTGCAAAAAAGACATTTATGTGACACATCTGGGAATGCAGGTGAGCCTCAGCAGCCTCTGCTGACCTTTTTTCTCTCAGGGCTTGAGGCACCAGGAGTTCCTATGAGAGAAGACATGCTGCACATGAGAAATGCAATTTGCATGTGACAGAGCTGAACTGTTCACAGGCCAGCCTCCAGCAGCACATCAGCACATTGCTTAATTCACAAAAACAACCCCTGCTCTCCTGGGAACCTGCACACAACAATCCAAACACCACCAGACAAAACAAAACAGAAAGAAAAGTATCATCATATTCTTGCAGAAAGCCAAGCAGTTACCATCAACAGCTTCAACAGCTAAATATCTAGCATTAAAATTGTTCTTTTAGTACTAAGGTTTCCTCCAGAAATAAGTCAGAACACAAAAGGGGCTGCTGAATTATCTCTAAATAACCACAAGCCCATATTCAGTGAACTCACAGTATGCTCAATACTCAGTATCAGACTTCCAAGGGATGCTGCCATAACAGCTTCCTCCAAACAAGGAGGAAACAACAAGGGAAGGGCAGCACAAAAATATAACCAGTATTTACAGGGGATCAGTTACCAAAAGTTTGTTACAAGTTACTACAGGTGCTGTTTTAGTTAGGGGTTGATTTTAATGTACAAGATCCCCAGAGGGAGGTCACAGTCCCCCGTGAGCTGCCAGCAGCAGCTGACAGTCACTGCCTACCTGGCAGCTTTTGTCACCCAGTCAGGATTCTCAGATGGTCACAGTAACACCAGGCTGACCTGAAGAACCATGAAATGAGATTGGAGAGGAAACTAATCACAAAATCCTATGTGAACAGGAGGAGGCACAGTATGTAAAGAAGGTTCTGCTGCTCACACACTGCCTTTGCATTCATATAGTAACCTCTGTTTCTATTGCTTCTTCATGCTGAATAACTTTTACCAGGGCACAATTCTAGTCATAAGAAAATGTTCCTTTCCCCAAAAGCCTCCAGAGACAAATAAAGCCTGTAAGAAAAGAAAGAGATTTTTTTGTCTGGGCCTGCAATGAAGGAGCAAGGACATAAGTTTTAAACCAAAGAGAGTAGGTTTAGATTGGACGAAATTTTTTTATGATGAGGCTGGAACAGGCTGTCCAGATCATGAGTCCTCAAGGTCAAGCTGGACAGAGCTTTGAGCAACCTGACAGCAGCTTTCCAGCTCCTGAAGTGAGCCTACAAGAAATACGGAGAGGGACTTTTTACAAGGGGTTATAGCTGTACCTCTGGGGTGCAATTCTCCCTGTAGAAGTCAAGGGAAAGCATGGAAGATGTAATGGACAGGACACTGGCATTTTCTGTCAAGTGAGAGTGCACAATGCTAAAGATTTCCAGGTTCACTGGTCACAAGCCACTATGGCTAGGAGGAACAAGGGCATTTGTTTTTCAAGAACATGCAGTGTTTACATGACCATGTACTTTGCCAGTCCATTTATTTAATGATTATTCCCCTTCTGAAACAGAAAACCAATTGGCTTTGCTTAGGCAAGGAGAAACTGAATAGAACAATGAAGTCCACCTGCAAGCTGGTAGATCACAAGACACAAGCTTTTAGAATGAGCTCCTAAAAGATCTTGAAACTTCTTCAACCTGTCCAGAAACAATCTTGCATGGGAAGAATACAGATAAGAGACCAGTCCAGAACAGCTTCTCAAGTGGGCCTGTGGTAGATGTGCCACCTCTCAAGAGTCAATTCACTCAGCAGGCCCACAGTGCCTTCTGTAGTGAACACAAGTGTCACAGTTTGGTCGTTCAAGTAATGACAAGTACTTGAGGCTGAAAAAGGTGTTCACAAAGTGATTGAGCATGCAAAACTCTTGAGCAGTCACCAGATGTCACCAGGTCTCAGGAGACTCTAGGGGAAGCAGCAGGCCAAGTGACAAAAGCAGAAGAGAATGATTCTGTGGTACATCCAGAAAAAGCAACTCAGTCACCAAGACAACTTAAAGGGTGCACATTTAGGAGCTGAAGGACCTGGACTGGTCATCTAAGGCAGTGCCCTCCAACCTTTGCATCTCAGCCACATGGCTGCTCTCTGTTCTTTCTCTCTTCCCACCTCAAGCCCTGGAACCCTGACACTCTAACAGACTCCCAGGAACACCAACTCTGGAAGTGATCACCAGTCTCACTCCCCTCCACAGGTCTTGTGCAACCCAGGTTTGCCCATGAGCTTGGGTGGAACTGAAACTCTCTGTCATCACACTCTTACACACTCACAACAACTTTCGTGCCAGATGTTGTAGCATCTTCTAAATTTTTTTCTCATATTAAAACTTCCTCATTTCTTTTAGGGATTTGGATTCCAGCATTTACATTTCAAGCTGACACTGGCATGACCCTGGTTCTGTCTTACATACAAAGCAGGACAAAGCATGTGCTTTACAGGCAAAGCATGTTCTGCTTTTTTTCATGGCCCCTCTATCTTTTTGCCCCTTCTGCAGTAAACAGCAGTCAGTGCCATGCACATCCAGAACACACTCATAAAATAAAGTGTCCAATAATATGTTAAATGTGTGGCCCAGTAGGCTATAATAATGTCTACAAGTTTTAGTCATGTTTCAGTACCCTCATGCAGTAGGCATACACCAACAAACAAAAAATAAATTACTTTCTGTCCAAAAAGTGGTGGTGGGATGCTACCTCTGGTAGATTACCTCTAGTGATGACTTTTCAGATACTAAGACCACTCTGCATTTTCCTCAAAAAGAGATAGCTAGAAGCCAGTCACAAAACACACAGGCCAGTTTTTTTGTTAAACTATGATTGAAATCTTCACTTTCCTTTCGACAGAAGAAACAAAGAATGAGTGCAAGGGATGAAAGTTAAAAAAAATAGAGTGGGAGGAAAAGAAACAAAGAAAAGTCTCAGCCCATCTACCCCACTACAAAAAAACAAGAATAAAACCTGCTCTGTGTTGGAAACTCCCACAGGGTACCTTGATTTCAAGCAGCTGAATGCACACACAGGTAGCTATGACTCTGAGAGTAACACACAGTCTGTTTTTAAAAGACTAGAGCAAAACAGGAGACTGTCATCCATTATATATTAAAAAATAACACAGCATCTCTCATCAACCAGTGGTACAGGGCAAGCTGGTATGTCTGGAGCTGTTCTGTCTTCACAGTAGATGGTTCCATTGCAGAGAACATTACCAGCACACCTCTCAACTAGCTCACCCACTGTTTAGAAGGCTGGGATTAATTACAGCAATTATTAATTACAGAAAAAAAAAAAAAAAAGAGAGAGTAAGGTTTAAAACAAGAGGGGAAGTGAAAAATAGGGAAAGAATATGAACTTCAGTAGAAACCTCAGGATGCACAAATGCCATTAGGTACAAAAAAAGAAGGCATTTAAAAACAGAGGAAGAACAATCACTTACCTTTCAAGAGGGGCTGGAAAGTTGGGATTTCCTGCAGTTTTATGACATCTGGATCATTGCTGACATTCCGTGAGGATTGTGTTCCTGGGGCTACGACCACAATGTCGTCCATTTTTGCTCGTTGCTTGGCTGGCAACGGAGATGCTGGATATTGGAGGGAGAAGGAATAACCCCTTATAAGCAGTGTAAACACACCAGAACCCAACCCTATGCGAATATTGCTCTAATCCACACTGCACAGTCATGCTTTTTACAGCACATCGCCGGGATCGCTGAAGGGCTCTAAGCTGCTTTCCCTCTCCCCACTGGGGAACAGCGGATTCCGAGCACCTGCACCCCTGACGGCCCCGCCAGCCCCGCACGGCGCCCGGGGCGCTGCCCAAGCCCGGCCCGGCTCCCCCGGCCCGGGCGGTGCCCCCGCGCCGTCACAGGAAGGGCCGGGCCGCGCTGCCGCTGCCTCCCGCAGCAACAGCCCTTCCCTTCCGCACGCCCTTCCCTTCTCCACAGCCGCTGTCCCTCCCAAGGAAACAGCCGTGCGTGCCCTTCTCCGCAGCCGCTGTGCCGGCACAGCCCTCGCTCCCCGCCAGGCACCGACCTGCGGCGCTGGGCTCGCCCGGGCGGCTCTCGGCCTCGGCGCTCTGCTCCGCGCCCATGGCGCTGCCTCCGTCCCCCGCCCGCCGCAGCGCGGGGGCCGCCGCCGCCCACGGGGTTCCGGCTGCGCCGGGTCAGGCGGCTCCGCCCGGCGGGCGGGGCCCCGCTCGGCGCCGGGGCTGCTCGGATCTGCCCCGCTCTGCCCCGCCGGAACCGGCATCCCGGGGCCTGGGGGGGCGGCAGAGCGGCGGTGATCTGTGTGGCATGGGAGGATGCTCCTCCGCTGCTGCTCGGCCCTAGTGAGGCTGATGTTTGTAGTGCTATGTCCCCTTCTGTGCTCCTCGGTGTTGCCGGACAAGTTATTTTTCTTTAAAAAGGAGCCTATGACCGAATATCCTGGGTTGGAAAGGACCTACAAGGATCATCGAGTCCAATCCCTGCCCAGACACCCCAACAATCCCTGCACAGACACCCCAACAATCCCCCCTGTGCATCCCTGAGAGCGGTGTCCAAACGCTCCCGCAGCTCTGGCAGCCTTGGGGCCGTGACCATTCCCTGGGGAGCCTGGGCAGTGCCCGACACCCTCTGGGGGAAGAACCTTTCCCTGATCTCCAGGCTGACCCTGCCCTGACCCAGCTCCAGCCGTTCCCAGCTCCTGTCCCTGGTCCCAGAGAGCCGAGCTCAGGGCCTGCTCCTCCTGTTCCCCTCAGCACAAGCTGTGACTGCCATGGCTGCCCTCAGCCTCCTCCAGCTGAACAGGCCAAGTGCCCTCAGCTGCTCCTCACACGCTTCCCCTCAAGGCCCTTCACCATCCTCGTGCCCTCCTTTGGACACTCTCTAATGGCTTTAGGTCTAACATTGTGGCACCCAAAACTTCACACAATATTTGAGGTGAGGCTGCCCCAGCCTAGAGCAAAGCAGGACAATCCCTGCCTGGCCCTGCCAGGGATGCTCAGTGTTTGTGTTGAAATCAGCTCCAAGTGGGAAAAGGTAATTCTGGTAGGGGGGATCTCCAACTACTGATCACAGGCCACCAAACCAAAAAACTCATAGACCCAAAAGAAGAGAAAAACTGAGCATGTGGACTAATTAACATGAAAAGCAAGTGAATGATTAACTAATGGAAGATAGAATACTAATTAATAAGAGAACTACATAACAGTAACCAATGAATACTAATTCCTTTATTTACCAAAATATATAAATAGTCAAAATTTTTGATAACTGATTAACATGTTTGGTGAGGCAATACCCATGTACCTGTGTGCTGAATAAAGTAATGTCAGGTTTCTAACCTAACAAACTGGGTGAGAGAGCTCATTTCCCAGTTTGTGGTGAGGAGAGGGTCTAGCAGAGGATGATGTGGGTCTGGAGCATCTCTCCTATAAGAAGAGTGCCATGGGAAGAGTGGGAGCTTCAGATAAGCTCTGCCCCAGCTCAGATTTTGGCAACCATTTAAATGTAAGGACTCACTCTGGCCTGCAAGTTCTAGTGATGGCAGATCAGGTCTCTTTATAAAAATGAATTATTTATTGAACAGACAAGTGATAAACAAACAAAAGATCTTAATCAGAATTACTTACTACACAGTATAAAACTAAAACAACTAGGGGTAGAGTACAGCATAACATAAAACAATGCATGATATCAAGGTGCCTCTATTAAAGGTAGCAAAAGAAATAGTATTAGGAGTGATATGTAACTTCCCACTGAAAGGTCAATAACATTCACAGATTCCTTCACTCAGCCTCCAGGAGAGTATCCACAAAGCAGTGTCCCTGCTTAGGGGAGAAACTCCCCACAATTCCAGGGAAATATGTAGAAGATTTCTGCTTTGTGGAAGTTTGGTGTGGTTTTCATAGTTGTAAAGTGAGGTGTCCGTGTGTCAGAAATTCAGCTTATCACTCCAGATCTCACTTTGGACAGTGAGATATTTATTGGCAGTTGGGAGATTCCAGTCTCTCTGCATATTCTCACATTCACCATCCCAACAGTTCAGGTGAAAAAACAGTTTCCTCAGCTGTTCTGACCACTTCAGCCAGACCTTTAGCCTTAATTTCAGCTTCTTTCTGCTTGGCTTCTTCCACCACCTCTATGTAAGAAAAGGCAGGTGGAAGCTGCAACTTTGTCTAATACATAGCAGGGGTAATACCTGTGCTTGCCTTTAGTATTCATTCCCCTGTTCATTCACTGTGTGATGCAGTTAGCAGGCAACGCCTTAATGTTCAGATTCTCTTGGGACTTTTTCTTTTAACAGTGAAAATAATGTCACCAGTTTACCTAGAAAGGAACATTTTCTTAAACAAGTGCAGCTGAGAATTTTAGGAGAAACCATCCCACCAAGACTGTGAGAATCACAAACATTATTAATTGCCCCAAGATGGCCATGGGGTGCAAAATGAGATGGTGGGCTCAGTGGGCTTACAACACTCATGCCCAAATAAAAGCCAACACCCAGCAGTACTGACAAAGGGGACTGACTGGGCATGAAAAACAAGACAGCCACCTATGCCTTGGCATCTAACCATTACAATACATAAACTAACCTGCCCTTTGGGATCTCTTCTGGTAATGCACATCTCTGAAAATAAAATCGTCTCTTTCCTGAAAAAGAAGGAATCTGTCTTATAATCCTTTTATTCTTTGCACTCCTTTGGTCTACTTTTACTCCTAAACACTACCCCAAAATAGTAAGAAAAAAAAAAAAACTAACAAGAGGAAATAAAAAATTTCCAAGCAAAAACATGACTTAAGCAAGCAATTGCACTGAGACTGCTGACGGAAGAATGGCCAAGACACCAGTCAGGGTCCCAGTAGACCGGCTTTTTTGTTCATTTTTTTCCCCCATTCCACAAACATCTTATGCTTGGTTATGATTTGAACAGGATTACTCATGTAGCAAGGAGACTTTTACACACACAGAACTATGTCCACATCCGTTTAGTCCAGGATATGCATATTAATCTCTTTCATTACAGCTCCCAAAAGCAGATCTCAGGTGTAGGAAAAGTCTGACTGTGGGTAAAACCGTAGCAGCCTGACCACCAAGAGCTTCTCTAGGTGGTTTTGCCTTGTGTCTGATCTTAGGAAGGACCCTTGGCTGTAGGAGCGGGAATACCCTCTCAGCCCCGCTGGGAAGGCAGGAGGAGGAGGGCGGGAGGAAGGCAGGAGAAGGTCAGGCAGGAGGAAGAGGGCAGGAAGGGGAAAGCAAGGGAGAAAGAGGGAGGGCAGGAGAAAAGGCAGGAATGGGAATGGAGAATGGCGGGCAGGGAGAAGGAAGCAAGAGAGAAGGAGGGCAGGCTGGAAGGCAGGAGGAAGGCAGGTATGTAGGTAAGCAGGAATTCCAGGTGAGAAGGAAACAAGAGAGGAGGAGGGCAGGCTGGAAGGCAGGAGGAGGACAGGAAGGCAGGTAGGTAGGTAAGCAGGAATTCCAGGTGAGAAGGAAACAAGAGAAGAGGAGGACAGGAAGGCAGGTAGGTAGGTAAGCAGGAATTCCAGGTGAGAAGGAAACAAGAGAGGAGGAGGGCAGGCTGGAAGGCAGGTGGAAGGCAGGAGAAAGGCAGGTAGGTAGGTAGGTAGGTAGGTAAGCAGGAATTCCAGGTGAGAAGGAAACAAGAGAGGAGGAGGACAGGCTGAAAGGCAGGAGGAGGACAGGAAGGCAGGTAGGTAGGTAGGTAAGCAGGAATTCCAGGAGGAGGAGGAGGGCAGGCAGGCAGGAGAAGAAGGGCAGCAGGCGTCCCGGGCCCGCCTCCCCGGGCCCCTCCTCCCGGACGTGCCGGGACAGCCGCGGTTCCCCCGAGCCGGGCCAGGCTCCGCCGCTGCCTTCCCGACCCCGGAGGTGTCCCAGGAACGCGTTCCCGCCCCGGGAGCAGCGGAGCCCCCTTGGCGCCGGTCCCGGAGGAGCCCCGTGGGGACCGGCCCGGGTCACCATGTCCCGCGGGGACAGCCGCTGGCCGGTTCGCCTGCTGCTGACCGCCTGCCTGATGGCCGGGCCGGCGCTGGGCCAGGAGTGCTCTGCGGAGAAGATGGAGAATTCTATCATCGATATAAACCTGTCCCTGCCCCGCGGCGTGCGGGGCGCGGAGCCGCTGCGCGTCCCCGGCGCGGGTGCGTGTGTCCGCGCCTGCTGCTCGGGGCACCGGCTCGCAGGTAACCCCGGCCTCCTTCTCCGCCACCGCCTGGGACGATAATTGTGCAGTTTGGGCTCTCGGGGTGGTGTTCTCCCTGTTCAGCACGGGATTTACCCTCTCATTCAGGCTGCGCCTAGTTCCAGCTGGCGGCTGGTATCTTCTGTTGCCAGTAGATGTTAAAACTTAACGCAAGACTTTCCTTAAAGTGTTCAGGAAAATTGTTGCATTGGAGAAACAGCGTTAGTTTTAGGCGTCAAAACCTCCCAAATCCCCAACCCCGAAGGTGCATAAGATGTGTTTAGTAAACGCACTAAAACTACCTGGCATTTTGCACTGTATTTAATTTTAGCCAAAAATGAGAATGCTCACCCTCCTGTGAGACAGCTGGTTTGAATCAAGCTCTTGGAGCAGTAGGAGGCAGAGCAGCAAGTAGAAATTACAGTGGTGAAGGTGACCCCCCAAAGCAGAAACTAGCCAAGCGATTCCTGGGATGTAATAAAAATGTTTAAATAATTTTCTTCCCCATGAGTATATCGAGGAGGTTTTCAGATTTATCAGGATTTGTAAGCGAGCAATTGTTGTATAAAGTGTTGCCAGTGTGGTATGCGTGAGGGGAGGATGAGAGATTAGACTCATAATTTCCCCAACTTTATTTGTACAGGAAAAGGAAGGTGTGACCTTTCATATTTTGGCCCTGGGCCATTCTTCTGCAGTCCTTGGTGGTTTTTTCCCTGTAGGAATGTTAGGTGTTAGTAGTTTTCCTCTTACTCACATGAGCAAAAGTTAAACTAGATCTCATTACCATACTGCTATAAAAGTTCTTACTGCTGAAACAGGCATTTACTTTGTTTTGCAGGAGACAAGAAATGTAATCTGATTATTTTTTATGCTGCAAGAACAAGCACACATCCAAACTGCTACTTGTTTTACTGTCCTAGCACTGAGGCTTGTCCAATGAAA